TTGTACAGTTTGTAAATAAACGTAGCTAACAGTATTCTCGTTAGTACGACATTTTGTACAGTTTGTAAATAAACGTAGCTAACAGTATTCTCGTTAGTACGACATTTTGTACAGTTTGTAAATAAACGTAGCTAACAGTATTCTCGTCAGTACGACATTTTGTACAGTTTGTAGTCTTCAGTTTACACAAATTACAGTACCATATAAGATCAACGTGAATTTCTGATCAAGTTCAAAGCTTCTAAGTTTCAAATGATTAGTTTCAGTTTACAGAAACATTTACTTACATCTTCGTTTAAAGCATCTAAAATCAGAGTTTTTAACTCCGTCAGGCATTGGTTGATCCGGGCTCTTCTTCGCTTCTCCATAATGGGTTTAGTAGCCTAAAAAACAGTAGAATTATGAACTTAGAAACAAAATAAGACGTTTAAAATTCACGTATTTAACTCTAAAACTTGAGACTTCTTGTTATAAAGGTATATATATATATATACTTAAACTACGCTTGTTAATATATACATTATCAATCATGATGTTATAATATTTAAAACCCGATTTCCTAAATTCTTGAAATTAAAGAACCACAAGTACCAAAAAACTGATTTAATAAATCGTGTCTGATATTAGCTACTCTGGACAACTTGGACGAGGAAGCAATAATTACACGTAAAACATTTCATATTTAAAAACAAGATTTAAATTATTTAATGATTAATATCATTTTTACCTAGTTTGGTCATAAACAACCTTATTTAGTTTTGATTACATCAACTTTAGTATCACTTTTTATCTTGCTCATCAGACTTAACAGTAACATTAATTTCTGGTAATAGCGCGAATTAAAATAGGTATTTTTGAAACACTTTATAATGTACTACGTAGTCGATAAAAATATATCTTCAAAAAACGTTACTAGTTCTCTAGCTGCTGTTGTAAGTTATTAGGTAATTAATAGTATTGGGCTTGAGTTAACGTAACGAGCAGTATATAAGACTGTTACCTTTCGATAATCAGTAATTTTGGAAGTGGGTCTTTCTGCTGGCATTTTGTTCTCAAGCAAAGCAACCACAAACTATAAAACAGGTAGAAATCCCTGTCTGAGCATTGGCTCAATCAGCTTGTGGGATGAATTTCACGTCAGCGACCGACAACTTGAACGCTACGACAGGATATAACGGAATGTATAAACCAACTGAGCTTTCAAAGCTTAAGCTTCAACCCCTGCAATGTGGGCTGACGAGCAGAGTTTAACAAGTGCATGTATGGGAACGTGCGCGCGTGACGTGAGTTGTTATTTATACGAGGTCAACCAAGCATGCAGACCGAACGTGTGAGAACGGCGAAGCGAGCTCTTTCCCACACTCACAGAGAGTTTCAGGCGCGGCGCCCGCTGCCCAGATTGTGTCAGTACCTCACGATGACTTACACGGTCTTCGCTTGCATCGTGGTGGGGATATGCAAGATATTACCAATAGGATTCGCGGTTTATTTTTTCACCTTGTTTTTTACAGTAATTCGTTTCCATTAAATTGAATTGAACATTTAATGTTTTTGTGGCATTCATATTTAAGTATATAAAAAAAATCGTGAATTTGTTTTCATTTTCACAACAATAAACGTATTTTTTTCTTATTCGGTAAAATATTTTTTATTTGTTATTACAGTTTCGCTAAACTTGATTTGATATGCAGTAGACTCGAAAAACTTTGAAGCATAAAATCTTGGTTTATATTTACAACACATACAGGGTGTGTTAAACTGGCTGTACAGTTGTTTCATCCAGAACATAATTTCCAACAATTACTGTTTACTCTGAAACAAACAATAATTTCCAATAATTACTGTTTACTCTGAAATAAACAATAATTTCCAACCACCACTGTTTACTCTGAAACAAACAATAATTACCAACAATTACTGTTTACTCTGAAACAAACAATAATTACCAACAATTACTGTTTACTCCGAAACAAACAATAATTACCAACAATTACTGTTTACTCTGAAACAAACAATAATTTCCAATAATTACTGTTTACTCTGAAACAAACGATAATTACCAACAATTACTGTTTACTCTGAAACAAACAATAATTTCCAATAATTACTGTTTACTCTGAAATAAACAATAATTACCAACAATTACTGTTTACTCTGAAACAAACAATAATTTCCAACAATTATTGTTTACTCTGAAACAAACAATAATTTCCAACAATTATTGTTTACTCTGAAACAAACAATAATTACCAACAATTACTGTTTACTCTGAAACAAACAATAATTAAGTTGGTTTAAATTTACTTTAGTACAGTAGTGTCTGCCCTACCCTGTATTATGTATACTAGCAGGTTTTATAGATTTGAGCTTCTAAACCCTACACTAAACTGGTATAATCATTACTATACAACGCTATGTTGTGGGTTATAAATTCCAGCAGTATCTGGATCTAAACGTACACGTAGAAAGACCATGGTGACTACTGGTACACTGATTGGTGTTTACGTGTGGGCGTAGTCTAATAGCTGTGACCTGCAAATCAATCGTGGAGAGGGGGGGGGGTAATCTGAGCAGGAGTTTACTGGTAAAACTGCACGTGCCACCACTTTCTTCCCATAACCCTGGCTCGTGCGGAGTGTGGGAAAACTCCGCCTCCCAGCGCGCGTCGCGGGTAAACCGGTTTTAAGCCTCCGGGTAAGGAAGTACAGACAGAGCAGCTGACTTCGTAGGTGTAAGGAGCGGATGGATAAGTGTTCTTATGATCGATGTGTAGTGAGTGTTTTAATCTCTTTTTTTTTGTTCTTTCTGGCCTATCCTGATTAGTGTTCGGTATCCCACTAAGTTTTGAAATAAACGATTTCCAAATGTTTTTTTTTTTCCTTCCTAAATTCACAGTGTCATTTAATATATTTGCTGACAATATTTAATTACGTGGTTTCTTCTGTGTAGTTCGGATTTTTATTTTTATTTACTTTACTATTTCGTATTCAAGAAATGTGATTGATTGTAGTTAGATAAAATAATCCTTTTTTTATTTAATTTAATTCTCGTTTCTTGCATCACATGTCTTTGCTATTACAACCTTCACATAATTGGCTGTAGACAGGGAATGTGAAATTAGGTTTAGGACATAATAGGTTGAAGCAGGCTCTCTCATAATTGCGCAGTGGATTTTATATTCTCACTGGTGTTGGTGATATAGTCGTAGAGACATACCAGCGTCATTTCATGATAATATATAGCAGTTCTTACACCACTAATAACACTGTTGGGTTTTGATATATATTTTATATTTAGTTTTATCTTGGGCTAGATTTATCTACGCAAATACAATATATATATATATTTCTATTTTATTTCAGCCTTTTTATGCTTTCTGTAAATAAAAGTGGTTAGGCATCTCGTTTTTCTGCCACTAGATGGCGCACACCTTCAACCAGTATGACAGGTCTGATCTTGACTAGAGTGTAGGGGTGATCTACTTGTAAGCCGCCAAATTTATCTCGTAATATATATACCATAATAACATTTTGCGTATTTTCGTTACGCCCTAATGAAAATTTCATCCGTGGCACGAGCTATTATTACATAGATTTACTTGATATATCAACCCGGGTTATTCATTCTCTATATTTAGAAGATGCACGTGCTTGTTCCACATCTAAAGAATGACCGCGTATGTAAGAAGTTAATATTTTCTCAGGACCTGTAGGGTTTTATATGTAACAAGTAGCCGTACGTTTACCTCAAGTCTGAGGGCTTACTCGCGACGGACAGAGAACCGTTGTGTAAGTTTCTGTTTAACAACAAGCAAAACTTAATGTTAAATGTATAGATTTGGTATTGGATGTATTAAAGACGGATTCATGCATGTTTTACTGTAAACTAAGACTCCTTTAATACATCCAATAGACGGATTCATGCATGTTTTACTGTAAACTCAAGACTGGTATTGGATGTATTAATGACGGATTCATGCATGTTTTACTGTAAACTCAAGACTGGTATTGGATGTATTAATGACGGATTCATGCATGTTTTACTGTAAACTCAAGACTGATATTGGATGTATTAAAGACGGATTCATGTACGTTTTACTATAAAATGAAGACTGATATTGGATGTATTAAAGACGGATTCATGTACGTTTTACTATAAAATGAAGACTGATATTG